AAGTGGCAGCAACTGGAGTCAACACATCCCAAAAATCCCAGATTAAACCCTTTGCATTATTCCCTACAAAATCTCCTCTGAGTTATTAATAATTCTCTGGTTTAAATCTGACAATAGTTTAAGCTAAACAGGAGTGAAGGGATGAAGCTTCAATTTCTCCCTCAAACCACAGGGAATTTTGGCCTCCCAGGTGTGAGGGAATCATATGACCTTCCCCATAAACACCTTCCAACTCGTTTAAAAACTTGAATTTGGCTGCTCCCAAGGCAAACCTTAAATCCTCTGAGGCAAACCCAGGACATGCAGCAGCTCGACTCAAACTTGGAGGATTTAATTAAAGCCAAAGCCAAACAATATTCTGGCTCAGAATAGGAGCCTGAAATGCTCCTGGCTCGTGGCAGGAGGCACATTCCAGCTCTGGATAAAGAACAGATTTCTCTGGATTAACCACTGAAGCCAAGATGAATTTTGGAGGCTCTGAGCTAATTAATGTAAGATGAATTTTGGAGGCTCTGAGCACTGTAATCAATGTCTGCAATGTCTCCAAGTGAAGAAGATGATGACAAGCTCTTCCTCCCCTGAGAGTCATTAATGACAAGGCTCATTTGCACTAATTAGCAAGGCTCTGTTTTGACACCTCTCTGTGTGATCCAACCACACATTTCCTGCCAGGCTCATCCCATTGTTCAGGAAGGAGCAGTTTTCCTTCACCAGGGGATTTTATCACCACTTTGAGCAGATATTTGTGCCCACGTTGCAAAATTCAGCTGCCAAATCCCTGAGCTGTGGGGGAACACCTGGGTTTGGTTGCATTTCCTGTGTCCTCAACCACTGCAAAGGCTGAAAATATTGGGTTGAAGGAGATAAAAACATCCCCAGTGCAGCTGGGAAGAACAGGCAAAAATGTCCCACAAAAACAAGCGAATAAAAGCAAAATAAAAGCACAAAAAGCTCAATGGTAAAAAAAAACCAAAGGAAAACGAAAAATAAACAAAATCAAAAAAGCAAACTACAAAACGCTGCACAAAACACAAGCAAATAACAAATAAAAACAAAAAAAAAACCAGAAAAACCAAATAATCAGAAAAAATAACAATCAAAAAACCAAACTAGAAAAAGCTACACAAAAAACAAGCAAATAACAAATAAAAACAAAAAAAACCAATAACCAGAAAAACTAAATAATCAAATAACCAGAAAAACAATAATCAAAAAACCAAACTACAAAAAGCTACACAAAAACCAAGCAAATAACAAATAAAAACAAAAAACTCCAACAACCAGAAAAACCAAATAAATACAAACAAAAAACCCTAATGAAAAACAAACCAAAACCCAAACAAAAAAAGAAACAGAAAAAACTAAACAAAACCCCCAAACATACAAAAAATCCCCAAAGCAAAACAAAAACTAAACAAAAACAAAAAAAGAACCACAAAAACCTACACAAAAAACAAGCAAATAACAAACAAAAACAAAAAATCACAATAACCAGAAAACCCCCAAGCAAACAAAAAAAGAAGCAAAAACTA